AATAATAATAATAATAATAATAATAATAATAATAATAATAATAATAATAATATAATATAGAGGGAGGGAATAATAGGATTCTCCTTTCCAATTTTCCCTTTCATAGTACGGAACTTATGAAAATAAGTTAAATGGAGAGAGAGAGAAGGAAGGAACTGACTTTATCTAATATATATATAAGGAGGGAATAAATCATACACCCCCATCCTCCTTCCGGGGGTCAGTATAGTGAAATGTTTAATATTAAACTATGATCTGAATGTCTGTAGAGATTCTCAGTCCTTCAGGTCTTGGTTGTCCCAAAGGTGCTTTTTCAGGAGGCAACTGAACTTTCTGGTTTTTTTCTTTTGAAGTCGTTTCACTGCTATGATCTGAATGATTTGGATTCAGGTCTGACCTGTCTGTTCTATCTAGTTTTCCTGAAAAGGCTTCTCTGTCTGAAATGCACTCATTATGGAGAAAATCTATCTGGTTACTAAGAATCAGCATGGACTTGATGGTGCCTAATCAATCTGAAGTGCACCAGAAGAGTCCTAATTTCCATTATTTTATTTATTTATCGAATTTATATTGCTGCCTATTCGCCCATGGTGACTCGAGGCGGCTTACAGAATGTAAAACCATATTTAAAATAAAAAACAATAAAAACTAACAAAAAGAATCAAATAAATTAATAAAGTACAATAGAACAAAACCTGGGGGGGGGAAATCACCCCCCAACTCCCACCCCATGCCCCGACGAGGACAACAGATCACATGAGCCATTTGATGGTCTCCATCCCACTCTGGGTTCCCCAGGCCCGCTGGCAGAACCAGGTCTTCAGTGCTTTCCGGAAGAGTATTAGAGTGGGGGCCATTCCAATCTCTAAGAATAATAAATAACAATAATCTTATTCCCATTTATAATTGGGTAAAACTCTACCCTTTCTCATGTTGGTTTACATACCAGCTAAGAGTGTGGTATGCATTTTTTGATTTCAGAAACTACAAATCTTGTGTGTGGGTGAGATCCACCAACTGTTAACACTCATCAATATTAATTTTTAAGGAAAAGGTTTCTCTTTATTCCTGAAATAATCTAATGACCTGAAAACCCGATTCATTCTTTCAGAGAAAATGAAGATCTTGTTGATGAAAAAGGACAGGTTTCATGGAAAAGTGAAGACTGCACTGTTTCACAGATAGATGGAACCAAGTCATTTGTCTTTGGTAAGCTCTTGATAACTCCTGATATGTGTATTTGTGTGGTTTTCAGCATGAGTATATGTAAAGTAATAGGAGAATTTACAAATGGAATGTCTTGATTAATTAAAATGCCATACTAAATGTAGTAACTAACCTTCTTGATCTTTGTGCATTTTATATGTGTATAGCAGATGCATACTGGGTTTTTTTTAGGAGAAGCATTGAATATCATTCTTTGTTTTGGTAATCTGTAATCCAATCTGTTTTTCTGGTGGCTAAAGATAGCATATATGATGGGAAGATATCACTGCTCTTTCTATGCCCAGAACAGTGACTCTTGTAAATGTATGAATGAATAATTCTTCGACTTGTTCAATTGCAGTGCATGATTGCTATATCTTCTGTAACTAATTGTTCATGTTACATTCAATATTACCTTTTATTTTTACCTCCAAGAAGTAACTGTTTTTTTGAATTTATTAGCTCTAAAAACCAGGAGACTATGAATTCTAGATTTGGCTAGGGCACAAAAATTGTTTGGGTGTCATTGGCCTTGTCACTTTTTCATAGTCCAATCCATCTCACAGTGTTGTTGAGAAAAGACTAGTAGATAGATAGGATCAGCCTACTGATGACAAAAGAAAGGTGAGACAAAAAGCTAATTTATCAAAAAGATGAGTAATTTTCTCTATTGATGCTTAAGCACAGAAGAGCCTGTCTTGGTAGATTTTTACAGAGGCCATCATTTTGGTGGTATATTTCTTATTTTTCTCTTTGCTGGGCAACCTAGTTGTCTGTTGAGTTTTGCCAATTAACATCATAACTTGCTATGATTGTTGTTCCATAGTTCTGTTTTCAGTAAATTTTTAAAATTACAAATGAGATTTTCCTGTTTAAGTTTTTATTTCTTTTTCGGATTTTCTGCTCTCTTATTTTTCAGTAGTTCCTTTTCTGGAAATTTTCGTATCTTAATTTTTGTTCTTCTGTCTTTGGTGAATTTTCTTACATCTTCATTTTTCCACAGAAAAATGAATATAGTGCATTTCCAGGTTATACTCAGAATAAAAAACTTTATGTATAACCATTAAATAGGATACTATATGAAGAATAATACATGTGATTCAGCATAAGCCAGATAACTATACAAATGCTAATACCTATCGTACAGCTCATTCCCAATTGTTGTTCATTATTGGCATGATACATCCTCAGGCAATTGGTTTGACTGTGCAAAGTTGCTTCAGCTTACAAAATACTGGCAGTCATTGATTTACCACAATTGAGCCCAAGGTTTGTTTTTAAGGAAGACAAGTGAGTTTTGCTCCATTTTACGACGTTCCTTGCCACAGTAAATCACTACAGTTGTTAAGTTAGTAACATGGTTAAGTGAATGTGGCTTCCCCATTGACTTTGCTTGTTAGAAGATCACAAAAAGTGATCACATGATCCCAGGACACTGCAACTGTCATAAATATGAGTCAGTTGTCAAGTGTCCAAATTTTTGATCCTGTGGAGATGCTGCAAAGGTTGTAAGTGTGGAAAATGATCATAAGTTGAATTTTTCAGTGTCATTGTAACTTCAAATAGTCACTAAATGAATGGTTGTAAATTGAGGAATACCTATATTAGCCTGGTGATTTTTCAGGGACTGGGCACGGTGTCTACAAATTAAACTTTTTGCTTTCTTTTGAAGATCGTGTGTTCCACTCTAACAACAGTACAAAGGAAGTCTACCAAGGTGTGACTGCTTCTATTATCAAGTCGGCAGTTCAAGGATATAATGGTACTTTGAATAATAACCTTTTGTGTATATTTGTGCATGTGGCTATTAATTTAAACTAGTCATTCTACTTCTTTTTAGGCACTATTTTTGCTTACGGTCAGACAGCTTCTGGCAAAACGTACACAATATTGGGTACCAAAAAAGGGCCAGGTATCCTGCCAATGGCGATTAATGATGTTTTCGATACAATCTGCGGAGTAAGTGATTCTACTGAATGTTTATATTTCAGCTAACCAATGCTTTTGCAGAAATGGATATGACTGATATTGAAAGTGCAGCTGAGTTCCTAGCCTCTCGTGTCAGCATTTTTCAGGCTGTATGTCATGATTGCCATCCCAGAGGCTACAAGAAAATGAATGGAAGGTTATCAGAGAGTCCCGCTCCCTCTGGTTTTCCAGCTCCATGTAAAAATATGCTGGGTTGAAAGCAACTTTCCAGAGCCCGTTGTAGAAGCAGTAAATGTTTTTTTTAATTTAACACAGCTTATGCATCTTTTAAAGGCGTAATCAGGGAGGCTTCTGTGTAAAGTTCTGGTCAACTGACCCAATCTACGGTGTGCACAGAGGATTACTGTGGAAGAGAAAAGAGGCTGGGGTTATATCAAGGAGGCTGCCAGAGCCAAAAGCAAATCAGAACACTTATTGGGAAGTGTGCTCTTCTGCTCACAAAAAGTTGGAGTCATAGTAGCAACAACAGACTTATATATCACTTCACGATGCTTTACAGCCCTCTCTAAGCTGTTTAAAGAGTCAGCATGTTGCCCCCAACAATCTGGGTCCTCATTTTGCCCACCTCGGAAGGATGAAAGGCCGAGTCAACCTTAAGCCTTTTGAGAGTTGAACAGCTGGCAGTCAGTAGAAGTAGCCTGCAGTACTGCACTCTAACCACTGCGCCATCAAAGCTCATATATAATTAACATATTGGAAGGCTAGATAAAGAAATTTGGAGTTTGCTTTCAGTTGTAACTAGCCATACCTGGAAAATAATTTTGCATGAGTGCCCACAATACAGGTTGTCTTTCACTTACACAACCATAATTGGGACTGAAACTTCTAAGCAAGGCAGTTAAGTGAGCCTCCTGTGATTTTGTGATTTTTTTTTCTGCAGTTGGTAAACAAATATAGCTTCCCACTTTGATTTTGCTTGTCAGAAGTTGGCTGGGAAAGTCTCGGTGATCATGTGACCTCCATTATAAACTGCCAATTGCCAAACACTGACCATGGGGATGCTGCAATAGTTGTAAGTGGGAGGATGGTCATAAGTCATTTTTTTAAAAATTGCTGTAATTTTGAAAAGTCATAAGTCAATGATTACCTGTATGCTTTTAAAATTCAAAATAACAGCTAAAAGCCTCTTTCACAAAGTTTTTTAGCCGCATAGAAAGAGTAATGTTTTAAATTCACTATCTGGGGGAGCACATTCTTGGGACTGTCACAAGTTGAGTTAAAAACCTTTTTGACCACAAAATTCTTATGAAGAAGGTTGTGTTATAAATGTATACATTTGCCTTTCTTTAGCCATGAGTCCTCTAGTGTTAAACTGTCATCATCACTGACATCTAGATGACTTGATGTAATTAGACGTGTAGCCTAACAAATAATAAAGCATGGCTAGGAATGCAAATAGGAAAGCTTAGTGATTAATGGCATTAATCTGTGGAACAAGTTGTCTTCAAAAGTATTGACGAATATAATATCTCATAATTTTTAGATTCCAGACAGGGAATTCCTGCTCCGTGTATCATACATGGAAATTCATAATGAAACTATACAAGACTTGCTATGCAGTAACATTAGGAAAAAGAAGTCCTTGGTAGTTCGTGAAGACATCAATGTAAGTACATGAGGCTGGACACCCCTAGTGCTGCTCTCCAGCAAGACTCTATTGCAGGCACTGCCTCGCTAGTCTCAATTACTCTGGGTTGTTCCCGGACTGGCTAGGTTTTTCTGAAGGTTTTATTCATGGTTAAGTCAGAGTCAACCATTGAGCCCAGTTATGTATGCAAGTACAAGGCACAATATTCACAACTGATAAAGAATATTGATTGGTATAATAATCGAGTGTTTCATTCTCTTCTAGAGAACAATCTATGTTGAAGATCTGAATGAAGAAGTAGTGGTTTCTCCAGAGGAGGTTATGATCTGGTTGAAGAAAGGAGAAAGTAAGATTTACTGTCTAAAGTTTAAATGAGCATTATAAGCAAATCTCAGATTTCTAGATCTGTTAAAAGTCAGGCCTCTGTACCTGTAAATGAATACATACTGTCTTCAATACACTTTTCTTTAGTGTCTCCTCCCTGCAGATAGATACTCTCCCATACATAACCTGTGTTTCTTGTCCACCTGGGCAACATGCTCATGTATGCTCACATATACACTTATAGCACTTAGATTTATATATCGCGCCATAGTGCTTTAGAGCACTCTGAGTGGTTTACAATGTCAGCATATTGCCCCCAACAATCTGGGTCCTCATTTTACCAACCTCGGAAAGATGGAAGACTGAGTGAACCTTGAGCCTGTCAGGATCGAATTCCAGAGTGTGGTCAGAGTTTGCCTGCAATACTGCATTCTAACAACTGCACCATTAGGGCTCCTATATAACTTACTTTCTCCGTTCCTCAGGCACACATGCAAACATGTGCATGGAGTGAAACCCCTATGCTGAATTAGCCATTGGTGGTATAGTACATTTTAGCCCTTTCCTTGAAAATAAAAGATGAACTTGCTATGTTGCTACTGTTGTAGTGGGAATCTGATGGTCTTCTGTTGTTTGGGGGAAAATAAAGGGCTGCTGTAAGAGTTTCCAGAAAAGAAGTGCAAAGTTGGTGGAGTTGGTTCTTTTATTTCTAACAAAATAACAAGAGTTGGAAGGGAAGTTGAAGGTTGTGTAGGAGTTCAGTGAATATGGGATGTGGGGAAAGGGAGTCAGGTGCATTTGTAGACACCGTCTGCTGAGGTCTATTTTATGGGAAACGAGAATAAGTCAGAAGAGAAAATCCAGTTTTAAGAACAATCTGTATCTAATGTTTCTTCTAAACAGAAAACAGGCATTACGGTGAGACAAAAATGAATGAAAGAAGCAGCCGTTCTCATACAATTTTTAGAATGGTAAGTGATTGCTAATTTTTGTGTTCCTGCCTTCATTTAGTTCATGCCACAGCATTCAGCAGCATCTGCTATGCAGTTAACTAAATAAGCACATTATACAAAATATTGAATGGCACATATCTTCCAAGTAAATAAACCTGGGCTGAAAACCATATACGTAGACTGAGGCACTTCAGTTCTTAGTGACTCCTGTAGGACGAATAAGGCCACAGGTCTGATGAAGAAAATCCTGACCTCAAAGTTTTGGAATTTATAATGATAAATATAATATTCCCTTGGTGATTTTGAGGAGCATGTTCTTTATTTTTATTTGGCCAAACCATAAATCCTGTTTCCAGACAAATGGCTGCTCAATTTTGCTTGAAAACTATATTGACAGAACACCCTTAATTCTAGGAAGCAGACTTGACTGATAGCTCTCAAGATCAGGAAGTTATTTTGAGTTTGGTTCTCTCTGTGTAAAGCTTTCATCCATTGGTTCTTGTCCTACCACTCTGAAGAATCAATCCACATTCCTGCTGATAGTATTTCTATCATATATCCCCTTAGCCACCTTCTTCAGACTTTGAATTGGGCTTTATATTCTAACAATAGATAAATAAACTGATAAATAAAATAATCCCTTATGGGGAAGCATATACTAGCATGTTTGTGCAAGGGAAACCTTTACCTATACAAATAGCTTCATCCAGTTGTGTTGGGGAGGACTGAACTCTGGGACAACACAGTTTTGTTTCAGGCCTAGGCAAAGTTGGATACTATCCCTCAAGGTAGGGGAAATTAACCCTGTACACACATTGCAGTAAAATTAATGTGATGTGTGGTTTCATTTTGATTTTTGTCTAGCTCTGTTCTCTAATGTATAAAGGTGTTGTTAAATCTGGTTCATGATATTACTTTTTTTTTTAAAGATCATTGAAAGTAAAGAAAAGCATACTTCTGGCTCAAGTGACGAAGGAGCTGTAATGGTTTCTCATTTGGTGAGTTATTTGTAAGATGGAACAGGGGTTATAATAAGTGGGATATGATAGTACGCTGATGTAACTTTATAAACATTAAGTAACAGTTATGTTTTGATTTATACTCAGACAGGGTAGGCTAATAAATTTCTAAAATTCATCCTATCAAATTGTTTATATTTTTTTAAAAAGTGACAGGAATTTCATGTAAGACAAGGCTGAAGCTGCTGCACAAAGCTGCCACAAAGATGATGGCTTAGAAACGGTGTGGACAAAAGCTGGAAAAAGCTCCCTCAGGGAACCAAGTTGTTAAGGAAACAAAGGAAAAAAATGTTACTTGAATCAGACAAAAGAAATTGGGCCTCACATGGGAAACCCTTCCCCAAGTCCCACCAACAACTACCAGAACAAAGCAAGGACTTTGGAGGATAAAGGGTCCTTGAAGTCCACCCACTCTTTTTTGTCTTTGGATCCAGACTTGGTGACTTCCGTCCCTCTGGCTGATGACTGCCAGCCTAGTTGAGGATGTGGTTAAGTGTGGATAAAGGGTGAACAGCAAATATATATGTTGTAGCCGGTAAAGTCTGCTAATATTTCAAATTCAGTGGGTCTTTGTCTATTCTAAAGAACCGTTTGTTCCCCAGTGTTCGCTAAAAGGTGATGTTTTCCAGGGCTGTGAGTGAGTGACCATAAGCTGAACTTGGGAGCATGTGTGTAACACATTCTGTCTCAATTTTTCAGAATTTTGTAGATCTGGCAGGAAGTGAAAGAGCCAGCCAAACAGGCGCTGAAGGTATGTCTTTACTCTTCAATGAGATTTTCGGTAAATTCTATAGTAACTTGTTCCTAACTTATTGCCTTAAGTAGACTACATTCATATCCTCCCATCTTCAAAGGCCCACCTCATAAATTAGGGTTGCTGTGTCCTGGGGTCACATGATCCCCTTTTGTGACCTTCTGACAAGCAAAGTCAATGGGGAAGCCAGATTCACTTGAGAACCATGTTACTAACTTAACTGCAGCGATTCACATAACAACTGTGACAAGCAAGGTTGTAAAACGGAAAAATTCACTTAAGCAAATTCCTCACTTAGTATCAGAAATTGTCATAAGTCAAGGATTACTTGTAAATGTAGTCATGTGGGAATAGAGGGATAACATATAATTGTCCATTCCTAAATGAACGGCTCTTAATAAAGTGCTCATACTGATCACTAGGAACTTTGATGTTATATCTGCATCAAGTTAAATAGCCATTGTTTCCTAGAAATGTAAGAATAAAATCACAGTACAGCTATCTAACACAATCTGTGTTAGATTGTGTTCTCACTTCTGTAATTATTAACGGTTAGATATCCTAAACTATTAATGTCCTCCCATCAGAATAGACAAGTTTAAAAGGAAACTAGACAAATTCATGGGGTGTAGGGTCTGTCAAGGATTTCCAGTTGTGGTGGCTGTCTCATCTTTATTGTTGAGATCCATACTTCCCAATTCCAGTTGTTGAAGAATCTGAATGGAGAATCACATTCACCCATACCTAGGCTTTAAAAAGGATCCATCTGATTACTTGTCTTTTTTTTTAATGCTGGGCTGTATATTTGATTCAGTATAACTTTTCCTATGGCCTTAAAATGAGCACTGATTTATGATGCCTTAAATCCATCCAGCAACAACTGAAATGGTGCTTTTTATGTATGTGCTTAGGAATTAGACTTAAAGAAGGATGTAATATTAACAGGAGCCTCTTCATCTTGGGCCAAGTCATCAAGAAACTTTGTGATGATCAGTCTGGGTAAGAAAAAATATTCCTGTTTCAATTAGAGCAGCAAAAGGTTGATGAGCTCTGAATCTCCCCTTTCCCAACTTCATATTTTGACATGCGTCTTTTCACATTTTTTCATCTAGATAGTTTCATTTTTCAACTGATTAATGTTCTCAGTTTATCTAAAGATAATGAGTTGGCTATTGAAGCAATTTTCCCTCAGCCACATCCATAATATTTTATTCTTCTTTCTCTTATCCCTTTGCACCAGAGGCTTTATCAACTACCGGGATAGTAAACTCACAAGAATTCTACAGAACTCCTTGGGTGGAAATGCCAAGACTCTGATCATTTGTACAATTACACCAGCATCTTTGGAAGAAACTCTTGGCACGCTCCAGGTAATTTTTAAACGTTTTTGTCAAAAAAACATTTTGGGTATGGATAAGCACAAGCAGAAAGGTACAAATGGCAGTTATCACTTCAAAACTATATACCATAGTTACTCTTCATATGATATTATATGTATATATATATTCTCTCCAACTATTGTGCTATGTGGAAAAAGTGTGAGTATATTCTACTTTTATTTTGTTGATTTGTTGTAGTTTTGTTTATCTTCCAACATTGGCCTCACTACACCTCATTTTCGAAAGCTTCTAGAATTGTATTGCTACTTATACATAGCTAGCTAAAAAGTATCATTGTTCTGTGTACCGGATTTGTTCATACATAGACCTAAAATGAAGAGTGGTAGGAATTTGTGGCCTTCCAGGTGCCAGTCTATGAATTGTCCTAATGTACTATTAGACTAATTGGCTGACTGATTCTGTCTTGGAATCTTGCATAGTAACTCATCAAGGGGCAGAAGTAGCCCCCCATGGTTTTAAATACTTCTCAATTTTGTTTACACAAAATGCTAATGGGGGGGTGGGGAGAAACACTCTTCATAAAGAAAGAAATATACATTAGAGCAGAAATATCCAGTAAGAATAGCATGTTTTCAGTTTATGAATGTAATCAAGATTTTTAAAAATTATACTGTATTTTATTATATTACTGGCCTTCTCTACATATTTTGTCTCTTCTAGTTTGCCAGTACGGCCAAAAAAATGAAGAATACCCCAAAAGTCAATGAAGTTCTTAATGATGATGCTCTTCTAAAGCGATACCGTAATGAAATAGAAGATTTGAAACGCCAACTGGAAGAAGTAAGTTGCCTAATCTAAATGGATTGGATCGGTCGTTTTCCAGGCCAACAGGCCAAATCCATCAGTTAGCATGCCCCTTGAAAGTGTCCCTGTTCTAAAAACTCATTAATTGTCCAGTTTCTTGAATGATGCATGTCACAAACTTTCAAACTCTGAACTTCATTTTCTTCCAAGAGAATAAATGACTCATTATGTATGTTTAGATGCTACCTACGTTTCAGTTGAATATGGCAAAAGTATTAGGACAAATAGAAAAACTGAGGGGAAAAATGCATCTAGCGATAGGAGCAGGAGTAGAGTCTGAACAGAAATTTTAAGAACCAGTGAAGAAGCTGGACAATTACTTAATAGAACTCCACAACTTATGCACTCCTGACAATCACAAGGGAAAGGGAGAAGCTTCTTACTATGTGTTAGTAATCTGTAGCTAGCTCTTTTTATTTCTCCTCTGGTGACTTTAATAATTTTATTTTTTTTAGTCACTAGTAAATTTTCCTCTTTGTTGGGGACACTGGGAAGCAGGAAAGTGTTGATCCACTGAACCTTTGCTTGACTTAGAAAGTGATTTCTATGATCTCCAGCTGAAGAAGTCAAAAATATTCTCTTCTTCCTTGGACATCCTACCATAGATAATGTTTCCTGGGCTACCTTTTCACAGACCGTATGATTGCAGCCTTAAGTTACACCCTGTAATGCAAATGTAAATGTTCAAATTCTTCATATTTATTTCCTTGCAGAACCAAAATTTCCATTTGATAAGCAGCCTTGGTATCTTCTGTTTTAGGTTTCGTCACATTTTCATACCAAAGACCAGTTAGCACAACTCTTGGAAGAGAAGAATTCTGTTCAGAAAGAGCAGCAAGACAGGATAAGAGCGCTGACAGAAATGTTGGTGACCTCATCCTCTTTTTTACAAGAGCGGGAGCTAAAGGTAAGTATGAAGATTAAATATTACATAAAATTAGAAAATATTGTTTGTTTTGGAATTGTTATGCGTGGGAAGATGGGGAAAGTTTATGTAAACATAAAGAAACACCCCCCCCCCCCCCCAATTTTCTTAGCCTTTCAGAAGTCCATTAAAATTTAGTTTTTTATTCAGACACTGGAATGTAGTGAGTATGTCTGGAGTAAGTTGTTAGGCATCGCAAGGGTTGATGAAGAAGCCAGGTTTTGTTTAGATTTTAGTAGTAATGGCTTTTATTCTTGTGATGATATAAGAAATATGATAAAACTCAAAACAAATAGCATGTCTTAAGTTCTAGATTTTTTAAATTTTAAAAATCCCACCAATGTAAGTTCAGGGCAAATAAAAAATTGATACATAAAACATGAGATATATTTTAAGGCACTGTTGATTTACACCAGGTGTGTCAAACTCGATTTCATTGAGGGCCACATCAGGGTTGTTTTTGACTTTGGGGGTGGGGAGCATTTTGCTTTTAGTTTGTTTTTCTAGCCCTTTGCCAGCCAAATGGAGCTCGGGGGAGCTGTGCACTGCCTCCTACAGTCTTCTGCCAGTGAAAATGGGGCATACGGGGGCCCCGAGCTCCATTTTCGTTGGCAGAGGCACCATGGGCTGGTTCTTCACTGTTTCCAGGGCAACCAGATCTAAGCAACCCCTGGACCTTGAGTTTGGCACCCCTGATTTAGACACCGAAATAGAAAAAATATAGGAAGCCTTCTTTCTCGTCTTAGTGATAGCCTGAGTAGTTGCAGTTGTATGAAATTGTATTTTTGATGGTTCTGCAACTGTTTGAGAAAATAGTAAAGACTCTTAAATCAAGCTCGTCTTCTGCTATCTTCATAGAAACAGTCTTCGGTTGACAATTCTTATTTTTCAGAACTCTTATCTATGTTTCTCAAGCTTATACTAATAGCATATATCACAAAACTTAAGCATTGCTTGTCAGGCTGCTCTAAATTAAGACTAGTAGGTCATAATGTCAGGTGCTGTTACATTTACATGCTCTACACCTTCCCTACCAAAGACTTTTCGAAATCAACATTGCCAATATTTTTCCCACTATAACAGTTTCTGCTAGAGTACCTGACTTTACAGAGAACAAATTTTAACTCATTGTATTTATAACAGGTATAATGTACCTATTATATCAAGTCCTTTCTCAGATAGGTACAGGTGTATTAAGATTTCACATCTCAAAATTCCTCAACCTGCCTGCTGGCCAAGAAATTCCCACCGTGTTTGAAATGTGGGAAAGCTTGGCCAAAATATTGTTTACGTGTATGCTTATTTTTATTTTATTCTTAATTTAAGGCTAAAAAGAAGAGGCGTGTGACCTGGGCCCCTGGGGCTGTAAGCCAAGATGGGGGAATGCCTTTCTTAGAAGATTTTCCTAGTAGACCTAAACGCTTTAAAACTTCTCTATCTTGTGTCACAGAGATGGAAGAATGTAAGTTCTTTTCCTAAGAAAATTTTATTTATTTATTTAATTTTATTATTATTCAATTGCTTACAAGATAATAGGTATAAGTAAAAACATAGTTATGAATACATGGATACATATAAGAAAAATAAAAAATATATAAAAGAAACAATAGGACAGGGACTGTAGGCACGTTGGTGTGCTTATGCACGCCCCCTGTTTTGTTTTGTTTTTTTCATTTCATTTTCATTTGACTCCATAGAATTTCCATTTCCATTTAATTTTATATACTTTGGGTTGGGGGTGTTTTTAATTCTTAGCTGTCTCCTCGGAATTCTCAGAATATGATGATCAATGCATGACAGCCAGTATTATAATGCCTGAGGAAGAATGGATCCCAGGATCTGAAAGAAACTTTGTAAGTATTACGGGCTGATGGGGGGAAAAAAACCAAGCGGAATTTGCCAAGAGGGTTAGATATATTGATGAACCAATTTTTCCCAAGCAGTGGGCAAACATGCTTCAGTGGTGTGTAGAATTGCACATTAAGAGAAAATACAGTTTGTTGAAAACTTCCCCGATGCCTCTGTTTCATGCCAGCACTGTCTTAATCTGCCTGTAAAGGAAGAAAGGGAACAGGTTCTCTTTGCTTATTATCTTTATTCCTAACTAGATCTATACTATTATAAATCCAATAAAATAAATGCTATTTGCACATTATTATGTGTAAAAAAAGAGAACTTTTCTTGAAGCTGGGAACATAATTTGGTGATGAAGCAGAATGGTCTGAGGCAACAATCCCTTTTTAATCCATTACATTTGATATTTTGCAAAGTAGAAGAATGTTGTTGCCTACTGAATTTTTTTTTATTTTTTTTAGACTTCTAAAGACTTTACCGAGTCATTTCAGCTTTGCCAAAGCCTCATGGAAGAAAGGGTGAGTCATTTTTGTAGGTTGCAAGATATTCAACCAGAAGTTATGGATAAAAAGATGTAATTTCCTTCATTCTTTTTTTGGCTAGGATAACGCCATCACTGAACAGCAAACCATAAAAGCAAAACTTGATAGTGTGTGCTTAGAGAAAGAACGGCTGGTCTATGAACTCACAGAGCTGCATGAGAAAATGTCAACCCATGAGTTTGTAACCCTTGAGAAACTGACTTCTGAAGAGCAGGAGGTGAGAAAAAGGGATAGTTTGCAGATGAAACATTTCCATAAGTTTTAAAGACTTTCATTGTGAAGTGCAGACTAAATGCCACTGCAGTTCTTTCAGAACATATAGTTATCAACTATTTTATACAGATAATCCTTATGTCAGTTCATTTAGTGATTGTTCAAAGTTACACAATAACACCACCTAAACAACTGGAATGCATTAGAAGTATAGACAAAAATTGCAGTCCCAAAATTATGAATGTTGCAGCACCACAGCAATCGTTCACCCTCACGAATGACATTCACCCTGCTTATTCCCCTCCCTGAGCTCTCCACAATTACTCCCCGCCCCCCCACCACCATCCTCCCAGCTCACTCACTTTGAAGATCTGTGTTCTCTCTGCTGCAGTTTCTTTAAGAGCAGAACAATTTTGCTTCCAGCATCTGATCGGCTTGCAAATTCTCTTCATGCGCCAAGAATGAAATGTTTTAGGGGCTGTGATCTCATGCGAATTCAGGCTGCCATTCTCTGCAAAAGCGGATGGGTGCTTGAAGTCACACAAGACCAGGGCTCCCAGAAGCTTCTAGCCTCCACGCAAAATGTTTGCAAGCCAACAGGATGCTTTGAGGCAGCACAATTTTTGTCTATACTTCTAATGCATTCCAGTTGTTCAGGACTTCAGTTCCCAGATTTCCTGACCAACACATCTGAAGACAGTGCTGGATAGGAAATCTGGGGGTGAAAGTGTTATTTGGAGCAGCCAGCTTTGGGAGTTGAAGTCCGCCAGGCTTAAAGTTTGCAAAGTTGGAGACCCCTGAGCTGGAGGACATAAATTAAGGCAAAGTGTTTGAGGCTCATGGCACTATAACCTTGCTCTGCATCTTACTCAAGGATTATCTGGGAATTTGCATTTTCTCCCTCCCAATTTGCACTATGAAAGGAAGACTGGACATAAATGTACTAATTTTAATGGAATATAAATGACTGAACTAGAATTAAACTTCTTGGGACCAACCATGAAATATGAATCTTGCAACCGAGACATTCTACTTTGAAAGACTGAGAAGTAATAAGAAGTACTGGATTTATACATTTTACAAAGCTCAGCTTTGCTTTTGACCAAATGCACATAATACATTAAGCCATGGTTCCACAACCAACCACAATGATTATGTTTGAGATGAGCCAAAACATTTCTTATTTAATTTTGGCTTAGTGTTACATATCAACCAAATCATTATTGCACAGTGCCATATACAAACCTAGCCACTCTGGTACAGAGGTTGAAATTTTGTTTCCTAGAATTTTTCTCCATTTTAAGATATGCAAAAACAGTATTTCCTGCAGTAACAAAATTGCTTGGTTCTAACAGAATCTTTTAATGCTGCTTATCTTTCTTATGGTGATGGCAAGTAAACTAAACTGAAGGGTGCTTCATAACTGCTTTGCTATTTGCTTCACTTGCTCCACAGATGCAACTAATGCATGAAATTACCAACTTAAAGGCTATAATTTCAAATGCAGAAATATACAATCAAGACCTTCAGGTGAGCTGGTGGTTGCTTGGCTTCCCTATTTAAAAAAATGGAATGGCGATATGAATGGGGACGATTCCTTTGTATTTAGTATAGCATATATTGAATGTGTTTGAGATGCACCTTTTTTGTTTGTTTTATAGCAAGAAATAAACTCGAAAGACATGCAGTGCAAGGAACAAGAGGAAAGAATCACCGCATTGGAAGAGCACAATAAAAAACTTGAAAGACTTGTAGAAGAGTTAAAAAAAGACAAAAATGATACAACCATTTTAGTAGTAAGTATGAATCTTCTTAATTAATGGTGTATTTATTAAGTGAACCATGAAAAGCATATTTTTGTGTATTTGATTCCTTTGTTACTAGTTGAAGTTCTTATGAATAACTACATAGAATGGTAGTTACTTCCCTGTCTTTTGTAGTCTATCATGTAGAGCAGGGGTGTCAAACTCGCAGCCCGTGGGCCAGAAGCATCACGCACTGGCCACCCCCATCCCAGGTTTAGCAAAGGGGGAAAAAGTCATGATACGTCACGTGACGACAAAGTGACGCCGCAAGTTTGACACACCTGAAGTAAATTGATCAAGTTTTCTGGGCAAAGCAAACAATTTTGTAGAAGTTGCAAAAGTTACACAAGTTGTTAATAAGAGTTCTTGCCAGTTGATGTAGTTTCACAATTTCCAGTGAGTGATTGGAGAATAAGTGATATTTCCATGTGGCTAAACGTGCATCACTGTCCAAAGTTTTGGTTTGCTACATGGATAGAGAGAGATGCAAATTCTCATGTTATCACATTGGCCTGACTCACAAGGAGAGATAAATCTAATAATATTTGGTTTGGGTTTAGCATATTGTGTAAAACTAGCAAATTGTTTCTTATTTAACAAAACTTGATTTTTAAAAAAAATTAATTTCACTTTTATCTCCTCTTTAATATATACAGCTATTCCCTTCTTTTTTCCCTTATCTGCAGGCGCAGTATATAATTTCCCTAATTTGGGGCATTCTAAATAATTTTTTGTTCATTTTTTGAATATGTGTCTCTTGTAAACTTATTATATCTACTTTTTGTTTACTTAATTTTGCTAATGTTCTTTTCCTCTTTATTGCCAAATTTAAACCATTTATATAAATTGATAGTAGATTTATTTCTTCTCCCATTCTCTTAATTGTACCTAATTCCTTGCCTTCTGCTTGCCCGAATCACTCTTTGTGTTCTGGTTGTTGTTTTTTGGTCTTCTTGTTCCTTTTGTTGATGATCTGTCTTTCCCGTTCTTTGCTCTTCCTCTTTATTCTCTTGTTGCTGATATTCCTCTTGGGTATTTGATTTCCTCCTTGCTGCTCTGGTCTTCCGGGCTGACGAGTTGGTCATAGAAATCCTGTGCCTTTTCTAGAGTATCAATTTTAATTCTCTTTTCTTCCCACATAATAAGCATGCCTTCAGAAATCAGCCACCAAAAGAGAATGTCCCTTTTGTTCAATTGTGCAGCCAGAAATCTATAGTCCCGTCTCTGCTCCCTCACCCTTCTTGGGACCTGTTTCAATATCTGAATCTCTTTTCCCTTGTAGACAACAGTTTCATCTCTCGTTATTCGATATACAATGTCTCATACCTTTCTTCTTGTAAACCTTATGTGTACTTCTTTTGGGAGTTTATGTCGCCTGGCATAACTCGTGCTTACCCTATACACATCGTCCAATTCGTTCAGTATTTCATTTTTGTCTCTTCCTAATGTATCTGCTAAGACTTCAGCCATCACCATTTCCAGATCTTCTTCCTTGGTTTCCACAACATTTTGAAATCTAAGATACGATGATGCCCGGTCCATCTCAAGATGGATCAAGGAGTTGTCCATTTCTTTGTTTATTATTTTCCAAATGCCAAGACCAAAAGAGTGCTGAGGAAGATGGGCTCCTAATAACCAGCCTGTTTGTGCAGGTGAGAGCTCCAGCTTTTCTGGACTTCAGCCTCCACACAGGGTGGGACCCTTCTCTGCTTGGAAGCGACAGGAGAAACCTGGCCTTGGGGAGTCCTCTTCTTATGTGGAGGCTGAGGGGGGGGGGGTGTTGCCTGGTTATTAGGAGCCTGTCATCGGGCGATTCAAACCCAGCCCTCCTTCCCTCCCCCAACTTCCCTCCCCCACACCTGCAAAGGAGGGAGAGGTTTCCTCTGACTTAGGGGAGATATGAGATGGCTCTGCTTTTCTTCCGTTTAAGGGGGAGCCGGTTCCTCCCCGTCCAGATCTTCCCAGCCTCCAGGCACCATGTGGCTTCTTAAATTCTCACTCTCCCCCCCCCACCCCCCGCAAAGGATGAGAGAAGCCCCTCCTTTCCCTTCACTCTGTCCCACAGACTCCCAACCAATCAGGATGAAGAAAAAAACCATTCAAATAAAGCACAAGGCCAGCACCAAATTCAAATAGAAATGGCTGCCAAAGTCTGACACACATGATTAAAAGAACCCAATACACAAGCCTAATGATTGCAGGTGAGATTCTGCTGAAACGTCGCTATAACTTTAAAAGCACAACTATAAAGACATGGGAAAATACCCGAACAAACCTAAATACCATACATATAAATACCTACGAAAACAAACACACATACACACATTATTTATTTAATATTATAAATATTTTTTATATTAAATATATTATCTTTTTTAAAAAAATTCATATTAGTGGTCCTTGGGATTTAAAATTATGAGTTTGGTGGTCCCCGAGGTCGAAAAGGTTGGCGACCCCTGGATTAGAGAAATCCTTTTTTTAATGAACTCAATAAAATTATGCTGAAATTTATTTGGTTAGGTAAAAAGCCTAGAATAAAGATAAAATCATTACAGGATGTAAAAGCAGAGGAAGATTTGGTCTTCCAAATTGGGAGTTATATTACAGCTCAGCAGCACTTACCTGGACGAAAGATTAGATCAATTTAACCAATAAAAGAATACTAAGTCTGGAAACCATGACCCACAAAGAGGATGGCACACCTTTTTGTGGGAAACAGGAACTAAGAAACAACAGTATTTTCATAGACATTTAATTAGGAACTCCCTGTTACAAAACTGGACTAAAACTAAAAAAAGATATTATATGAAGATACCAATTTGGTTATCTGCGATGGAGGCCATGATTCACCCAAGCAACCTAGACGTAGCTAAGATGATAAAACATAAAGATGTACTCGATGTAGAAGGAAACTTGAAATCGATGCCAGATCTCCAAAAGCAAGGGATACATATCGACTGGTGGGCATTACTTCAGTTACAAAATAGATACAAAAAAGATATTAAGGATTTCGGGATATATTTGAAACCACAACAATTAGATAAAAATTTAATAGGCCCAGACCAAAAAAATTTATAAGTACTTGTTGGAGGTGGAATTAGAGGAAGAGATTGTGAAGGGATGTATGATAGCTTGGGCTCAAAACATAGGGCATAACATAAATTTGACAGAATGGGAAAGCATGAGGAATCGAAATTATAAGCTAATGAAATCGGCTGCATACAAAGAGAATGCCTACAAAATGTTTTATAGATGGTATTTGCCTCCTTTGAGATTAGCGAAGATGTATCCTAATATGAACCTGATATGTTGGAAGTGCAAGAAGAAAAAAGGTACATTCTATCATATGTGGTGGTCATGCCCGAAGACTCAAAAATATTGGCTAAAAATCAGAAAATGGTTACAAGAGATTACCAAATTACAAATAGAATTAGAACCAGAATTATTTTTATTGGGGATATTTAAAAAGAAATGCGGGAGAAATATAAAATATTCAATATTACACATCCTGACGGCAGCCAGAATTGCTTACACCCAATGCTGGAAACATTCATCTATACCTCCAGATGAATTGGTCATTCAGAAAATAATGACCTGTGCTGAGATAAATAAATTAACTTTGATGTTAAAAGAAAGAGAGAAGACTGAATATTATAAAATTTGGTAAAAATGGTATGACTGGATTGAACAAAGATAGTTAAATGGTTGATGAATTAAGGATAAGCAATATATAAGTTAAATGTTTATATTTGCATAAATTGTATATACAGTATTTGTAAATAATGCACAAAATAGCAGTATAAGAAGAATGTCAGTTTGTTGAATCTAAGATACTTTTACTTTTTGCTTGCTTTTTGTTTTTTAAAGTTGTAAAAGATCAATAAAATTTATTTTTTAAAAACAAGAAAAACGGTGATGAGTCAGTTTTTACAGTGCCGTTGTAACTTTGAATGATCACTAAATGAACTATTGTAAGTCGAAGATTGCCTTATACAAATTTTCTATAAATCTATGTGATTTTTTTGATATAAATATAATAGTATGGGTTAGCATATTATTATGGCTGATTATGCATTTCCAAAGTGATTTCAACTTTCAGAGTTGTACAAGTGATCGTAATTTCTCCAAAGAACACTTCGCTGATATTTTTGTTCTGTTTTGAGGTAACCAAAATGGAGCCAGTAAAGCATAATATACAGCAGGGCTGTCAAACTCGCGGCCCACGGCCCAGATGTGTCATGCACTGGCCATGCTCACATCCAGTTTAGCAAAGGGGGGGAGTCACGATACATCATATGACGATGCGAGTTTGACACCCCTGTTATATAGGCTTTACCTCTAGTTTTGGAAATTTGAAATTCATCATGGTGTGGAGACTTCGAAAATAAATTTATGAATCATCTGTTTTGACTTTCCTGACCATGACCCATCAACCTTACCAAAAAAAATTATTTTTAATTTTTCCTTGATAGAATATTTATCTCTGCTTAAATCACACTGTCACAATCTTCATGCTTGCAGCAAACTCCAAGGAAAAACCGCGACGAAATGCAAGAGTTAAAGCAGTCTCTCAGAGATGCTGAAGCAGTTGCCTTGGATGCCAGGAAAGAATCTGCATTCCTCCGAAGTGAAAATCTAACACTGAAAGAAAAAATGGTAAAAGAAGAAGTAAAAATTAGTAGTATTATCTGCTGAAAATCAGTTCTATATTTAAAAAAAAAAACTTCAAAACTCCAGAACATGCTTGTTTGTAAAATAGCTTTTATTTATTATTAGAAGACTGTTATGTAAATGGCAAGCAAGCTAATTTTTAAAAAAAACTTGAGGCATCTTTCCTCAGGATCCCACATACATGCAGAAGAAGATAACATTAAGGAGCCTACTGCGATAGAGGTTTAAGTATACAATCTCATATCATATAGATTATGCTGCCTTATAATTCCTAGAATGAATCTAGTGACAATTTGAAGGGTGTGTGTGTGTGTGTGTGTGTGTGTGTGTGTGTGTGTGTGTGTCGCAATGCTGCCTAAGATAATTTTCCTGTAAGCCAGAAAACAGAAATCACAGAGCAAACCATGTTTGTTATACATTGAGAATTTGTACTTGGATGTTCATGTTCATACAATGCTAACTCATTCCCACATAGAACCAGCTCTCAGATACTTACAATCAAATGGAAAAAGACTTTGGAAGCTACAAGACCCAATTAGAAGCAGGAAAAGTCAACTATAAAAAAATGCAGTCTGATCTCCAGAAAGAACTACAATACTACTTGCAAGAAAATGCAAAGCTGACATCGTTGGTGGAAGTTAACAATTCAAAAGGTACTGTTCATAGAAACTTCTTCCCCTGTCTTTTACAAAACCCTAAATGCTGAGAAAAGATTTTATAACTTAAAGTCAGTAGAATGCTGGTAGGAATACTGGGAGTTGTAATTCCAGTAGATGTGGATTAGGAAAGGCATTAATGTTTCAGGAAGGCTTTTGAGAAGTTGGAATGGGAAGGTGTCTTATTTTTTCTGTCATGATGCTTTACTTTTATTTTTTTAGGTTTTGTTTGTTTCTTATGTGTCTTTGTTTGCTGTTATTTCTTGTGTATAGTTTGAGCCTCCTCCCCTTTCCAAATTGGGATTTTTTTAAAAAAAAAAACTAGTGAAGGAGATATTTTAGCCATTTATAATAAAACCATCAAAAGGTTTTCTAATATTTTAAAGCTTATCAAATATACTTTAGGTTTTCATTTATCTCATAGGCATTTGATGAGACATTTAATTTAGTCTCTTTCAACAAAATAATTGCAGCTACCATGAAAAAATATTCTCAGTTATTTTTCCTCTTAAAATGGGTTGCATGTAGGAAAGATCCTGGAATTCAATTTGACAAATTCCTATATTTGACAAAAAGGATATAACTGATGCTGTGAAGTTTCAAAATTAAAGATTGCTCTTAAATCAGAAGTCATATCAGTAGAACAGGGGTGAAATTCAAAATGGAGAAAGGAAACTGCATAACTGAGAAAAGGAACAGAGGAAATAAACCAAACTGTATTGAGCAACAAAGTTTTACTTTTCAGGGATGCAAGGGAGATTGACTTTTGTTGTTGTGTCAATGTTTTCTGTTTCTTTCAACATTATCATTTGCAAAACTCAGGCTATAAATTACTCTATTTTAACAATAAATTCACCGTACCCAAAATGTATAAAATATAACTGGGGCTATAGCTCAGGGATAGATTCTTTACTTGTGGAAGGTCCAAGATTTAATCTCCAGTTTTTCTAAGTAAGACTGCAAAAATGCATGATGATATGGGCTCCCTATGATGTAGCTTCCTATGTATAGAACAATCCAGTCAACACAGCACAGTTGTCATTCATTTTTGTGATAAGTTTGGCCTATCTTTTCCAGACTTGCTACCATATATGGAGTTGGAAGGGAAAATGGAGGATTTAAAAAATGAGCTGAATAAAGCTTTGGAAGAGAATGTGAGCTTAAAGGAAAAGTTGACTGATTTATCAGAAGCAAACTTTGGATCAGATCTTGAAATCTTACATAAAGAGGTAAAACTATTGCATGAGTCACTGGAAATTATTCAGTACCATTTTATATGGCACTGAATTTTCCAGTGAAAAGTTTTCTCTTTTCAGAATAAAGTTTATTTTCTTTACTGTTTCCTAAAACAGACTTCTAGCACTAGTGAGCTATTTCAGCATTGTAAACAATTTTATTGACTTTTAGCAGAATTTGTGTCCACCAGTAATTAGTAGCTAGAGCTTTACACAGTGCCTTTGGAACATGCTCCCAGCAAAATAAATAATTGTCTCCTGGAGTAGCTTCCATAGCAGTTACCCAATCCTGCTTTATTGATTCAAAAGCATTTGAAAATTAAATTAGAAACCACAATGTTATTTTATTGCATTATATTCTGGTTTCTGTCATATTTGGAGAATGGAATTTTGAGTGTTAGAGATTGCTAAACTTGGGGAATCCAGAATTTAGATGTTAGAAGATAGGATTGATTGGCAATAGTGTGATAAGCAGTTATAGTCTCCAGCTAGGAAAATAGAGCAAGTCTCTACAAGATTTCTTTTTAACACTTAAGCAAGATAATGATAGAAAATCTTTTGATTAGTTTTGGAATAATGACAGACATCAAATTGATTCCCGTTAGAGGAGGAAACCTAGAAACCCAAACAATTATCTTCCATTATTATCCAGTTAATTTTTAAAACATAACAAAAACACTAAGAACTGTTCTCTGATATTTTGTTCATAATGTATGCTTTTGGTCTTATTAACAGATTGTTGAAAAAAATGAAACAATTGCTTTGCTGATGTCAGAAAAGGAAATGTTGCTGTCTCAAGTTGGTGAAAAAGAGAGAATGGTTCATGAAGCAACTCAAGCACTGGCATCGAAAATGGATTTAGCAAATGATGAAGTAATAAGAGGAAACACCGTAGCTTTTGAAGAACTCAGACAGCCATGTGATAAATTGGAGCAGAAATCCTTGGTTGTGGCTGAAGAAGATAAATCCATGAAAACACAAATAGATTCCTATTCCAATGGTAGTTTCAATGCATCCATCCATTATGATACCCAAGAGGTAAGTGCCCATTTTATAATATAAGTTAATACATACATTGTTGCATATTTTGATGCTTTATCTTTGCCCATACCTGCTTATGTTAAATATATTATTGATCATATATTATTACACAAAGGGTTGGATTATAAATATTGCAAGAACCAACAGATCACTAACAGCTCTGCAAATAGAGCTAGTCCTTGACTTACAATCACAATTGAGACCAACATTTCTGTGGTTAAGTGAGGCATTTGTGAAGTGAGCTTTGCCCCATTTTACGACCTTTCTTGCCACAGTTGTTAAGTGAAACACTGCAGTTGATAACCCGATTAAGTGAATCTGATTTCCCCATTGACTTTGCTTGTAGAAGGTCGCAAAAGGGGATCATGTGACCTTGAGACACAGCAACAGTCATAAATGTAAACCAGTTGCCAAGCATCTGAATTTTGCACACCTGGTCTTGCTGTGAAAGTCATATCTGTGAAAAACGGTCATGTCACTTTTTTCAGTATCATTGTAACTTTGAACAGTCACTAAAAGAACTGTAAGTTGAGGACTACCTGTACTGAAACTTATGGCACCTAGGTCTTAGCTGGAATCATTAAACTTACTTTGTCTTCGCCTTTAATATCTGAGATATTATTCCAGAAGGAGTTGTACTATTAAATTGCTCAGTATGCTTACCATTTCAACCAGTGCAGAAGTGCATGCAGCCTTACCTACACCAACAGAAATAAGCTGGAGTAGCATAATATGTGATGCTTAGCTAACTTGAAACTGCTAATTGTGTTGTCTTGACCTAGTTCATACATGCTATCATGCTAAATTATAACATAGAGGGTTTTTTTTAGACACTGCATGTTATGCGAATATAATATGTTATGCATGTTTGATTAAATCTAGACTTAGGACTTGGAGCATTGTATGAATCTCTCCATTATATCAAAGTTACAGGAAGTATCAGATCCTTTATAATTTGTGTATCAAATTGCATCTGGGAGCCTATTGTATGGAAACCTAGGTGCCTCTTGGTTATTACTATTGTTATTGCTTTGTTTAATTTTCCAATTTCACATAGAAAATGGAATGGAATTATCTGCTGCTGCTTTAAAGGAAAAGATTTAGCAGGAAATTTCCTACTGTGAATGAATTAATCATGAATGCAAAACAGATTGAAGCATAAGTTGACTTATCACTTATGGAATATCTTTCCTATGATTTCCTCTGTATCTCTACACCTAGTAATAGTCCCACTTACATTCCCTGGTTCTGCATCCATCTAGTATTTTGTATACTAAAAGTTGAAGCAGAGATTAAGTAGGGCTCTAGGATATCATAAGTCTGCTAGTAGTCTAGAATCTTTGTCTCTCCATAGTCTCAGCCATTACACTATATTGACTATCCATTCAAGAGGATCATTGTTTAAAAGAATATTGTTACAATACCCTTAGAATGTTTTTGTGGAAGCAGCATCAATTTTTCATATATTTACATATTTTGAAGTTATTTGATAGTAGAAGGAGAATGTGGAGGAGGGGAAATGATTCTTAACTATTGTGCAAATAATTCATTAAGATTATTGCAAAAGAAAGTTAAATGCGATTACAGAATTTGACAACTTTTGATGCTGCATTTTCAATATATTGTGTTTAACATATATGCTATAATTTTCTGAAAACTCAAAGCAATCTAGCAAAAATGAAGAATTACAGGAGAAGGACTTGGAGCAAGAGGAGCTGATCACTCTTCAAAAACAACTGGATGAAGCTCATCAAAAGTTGAGTGAAATGGAAAAGCTCAAGGATCAGTTTAAGGCTTGGGAGTCTAAAATGGAAGATGAAGAGGCACAAAAGTCAGACATGATGGAAAGACTTCAGGAGGAGAAAGAAAAAATAAGAGCCTTGACCCAAGAAAGAAATGACTTCAAACAAAAACAGGAAGCCCTTGAGAAGGAGAGAGATCAGCTCAAAGAAGATATACAAGATACTGTTTCAATGGTAAGCTAAACACGGCAGAGAAACAGACAAAGAGCAGGTGACTATCATTATGGACCTTATTCTTTTGGAACCTTTAATTGGTTGCATATGGTTAGGAGTCAGCAAGGATTGTGTTTGATGATCACTAACAGCCAAAAATATTGGTCTTTTAGGGAAGTTAAGAGTGAAAACAGGCACGTTGTGCCTCAAATGCTGAGTATGGGATTTCCATCCTTACATTCGTTTTACATGTGCTTTTCAGAAAAATGCAACTAAACCTTGCTTGGGGGGGGGGGGGGGTTGGAATTTTTTTGGAGAAAAATTAATTAGTGGAACAACTTTCTTCCAGAAGTTGTGAGTGCTGGAGGTTTTCAAGAAGAGATTGTCTATTTGTCTGAAATGGTATAGGGTCTCCTGCTTGAAGAGGGTTGAACTACAAGACTTCCAACTCTGGTGCCTTCCAACTCTGTTGTGCTTTTCTGTTCTGCTACCACATGTAACATCAAATTGTTTATCCTTGTATTAAGAAAGCAACCAAGTGTAGGAGAAAATATTATTTGCATCCCACAATATATTTTGTGTTAATTTTAATGCATACATATGTATATTTTTCTATCTTTTTATGAAAGAATATTGAAGCCCAGGAGGGGTTCAGGAATGCCCAGAATTCTTTGAAGCAGTGTCAGAAGCACATCAAAGAACTTGAAGAAACAATTGCAGAAAAAGACAAACAGATTTCAAGAATTAAGGAAACTTTAGAGATCACAACTGATGATCAAAAAAAACAGGTAAGAGATATCTGTAACAGAAATGCATTGACAGAATGAAGTTTTGGTTAAGTTTCTTGATCTGGGATGTACTTTTTCTGTTAGATCAAAGCTGCTCATTTATTTCCTCCAAAGAACTTACGGAATGATATATTCATTGCAGATACTGAAATTAACAGGCGACTTGAAAGACGTCTCTGTAAACAAAACTCAAAATGAAGAAGATACAAAACAGATTGTGCTAGAAGTCAACAATGAACTTCAACGAATTAAGGAGCAGATTACCACTCTCCAGCAAGAAAAGGTGGTGTTACAGCATCAACTGGAGGATTTGGAAAAGGAAAAGAATCAGTATCTAGAAAGCAATCAAATGGTACATATCAATCAATGTATTCATTCTTTTTGACCAGGAATGGTGCAGTGGCCTAGAGGTGGAGCTTTTGCCTCATAATCAGGAGGCTGTGAGATTGATCCTAGGTAGAGGCACATATTTCTCTCACTGGGCACACTGAGAATATATATGCTGAACAAAACTGCATTGGCAACAGGAAGGGCATCCGGCCATTAAAACATTCTGGTAGCTCCATTCAGTTGCCCAGACTCCACCCCGCAAGGGATTACGGGCTCATTAAATGAAGATGATGATTCATTCTTTTTGACCACCTGTTGTAACAAATAAACCTGCAAAAAAGTGCCCAAACATTAATAAAATATATATTAAAATGTACCAAAAATCAGTAAACACATTGAAATGGAATTATTACAGCAAAGGAAATATTAGAAAACTTTAATAAGAATATTTGATAAAATATTCTCTCTATTTAGCAGCATCCCATGCAAAGCTTGCTAATTTGAATAAAAGCTTGGAGGTTGACAACTTGTAGACCGGGACAAAAAAAAATTCAAGTGTGCTGACATCTGTGGCATTACCAGTTCATTTTTCACAACCAGTCTGCTGTAAAGATTATAGTAGCTATGGCAATAGCACTTATATATCGCTTCATGGTGCTTTATAGCCCTCTCTAAGCAGTTTACAGAGTCAGCATATTGCCCACAACAATCTGGGTCCTCATTTTACTGACCTCGGAAGGATAGAAGGCTGAGTCAACCTTGAGCTGGTCAGGATCGAACTCCTGGCAGTCAGCAGAGTTCGCTCTCAATACTGCATTCTAACCACTGCGCCACCACACAATGAATTACTTCTAACCATCAAAAGATTGCTAGTTCCTTCTCTGAAAGCACGGCATATTTTTTCTTTCCTACCTTTCATAAAAAATCAGAAACGTGTATACTATTTGATAGGTTCAATTTCATAAACATTTTTTCTCAAATCCAACAGCTACAAACAAAGTCCTTTAACCTGCAGCAGTTGCTCCAGACAAATCAGAATGCAGAAAATTTTGATGACTCAGAGCAGCTAAAAATTAGCTGCTTTGAGTCTCAAGTGGAAGCCCTGCAGAAGGAGAAAGCTGAGCTGGTTCAGAAGCTTCACAGCACTGAAGAAGACATCAAATACATTGGCCAAGAAAAAGAGCATCTGAGAACAGAGGTAGAGGTTCTTCAAGCTGAAAAGGATACCATGACTCAAACTGTCCACCGTCTAGGTGAGACTCTAGAGAAGCTGATTCCAACGGTAAGAATTCAATTGCTGCCACCTTTGGGGAGGTACTTTTTTATTGGATTAAGATTTAATTTAAATGTGGCTTGATTTCATGTGGCTTGATTTTTTCTTAAAGAACCTGGGACTTCAGGAACAACTGAGGGAGGCTAATAATTCTCTCAGCGAATACAAGAAAATGGTAGAAGAACTGAAAGGAAAAACCTTAGCCCCAGATTCTCAGATTTCAAAAATTGATGAGGAATTGAAACAAAAGGTAGGAAAATGTGTGACACTTTAAAAGCATTATTGTTATTTATTAGATTTAAAGACCACCTGGTTCCAGAATAATTTTGTTCAGTTTATAGTTTTTAAAAAAGAAAACATCTGAAGCATTTGGAAAACTATATCCCATATATCCCTCCCCCAAAATAAAAAATATTCCACCAACAACAAGCCTTCTGAAATCCTTTGCTGTAAGTCCTTTGAAGATTCTTGGAATGTCATCAGGGAAGGAGTTACATTGGATCTCAGAAAGGATAGGCAGAAGCCATGAGAGATATCCAGATACAGCTTTATAGGTTATAAACAACACCTTGAATTGCACCTGGAGCTTCTAATTGGTCTTCAAAGGCAGCCCGACCTAGACTGCATTGCAGTAATTCCACCTGTAAGTTACTAGGACTTGAGAAACCATCTTTGATGGGTTTCCTGATCCAGGAATGAATGCAATGGGTAACACCAGATGAAGTTATGCAAAGGTACTCTATCATAGTTGCTACCTGCTCTTCAAGTAGGAGCAACACGTGCCAGATAACCCACAGATTAAGCACCAGTCGTGACAAGAGGAGTGTAGCCTCTTGTCTCATAGCCTCATCCAAGGCTAAAGTTGGTAAAACCAAGTGGCTGGGTGCTCAAAAGTACACAGGTTTTGACAGGATTGAGCACGATGCTTTCAACATCTGCTGTTTAAAGTTCTCCAGTGCCCTCATCAATAATTTTTATTTGAAAGTTCACAGTTATTCTAAAGTTCACCGTTATTGAAACTCTTGATGTTTTCTTGAATTGCATTATAGAAATTGATGTGCCGACTGGGTTTTATTTCATGATGTAATGAGTTTTGTTTTCTTTTTCTCAATATATATTTTAGGCTGAGGATACTCAATTGGAGCTGGAGAAATTGTTATCTTATGTAAAATTACAAGAAGATGAGGTTAATACACAGAAGAATTTAGTTCTTGAGGAACAACAGAAGTTTCAGAAACTTGAAGAGGAATTTAAAGAAGAAACAAAAAAACTAAAAGAAAAGGTAAGTAAATGACAAGTAGAATAATGTTCATAAATATGGCCTAAAAATTCAGAATGACTTTTTAAGGAAGCCCAGGTTTTTTTTGACAATATGTCCCGTTTATATTTTAAATTATTTCTAAAAGCATCTAATTTTAAAAATTCAAGATAGTATAGATGAAAAGGAACTCTTTTCCCCAAATTACACAGAACATATTCAGAAAGTAGAATTGATTATCAGTTGCAATGGTGATAAATTTGAAAATGGGATTACCCGAATTAATAGAGGAATGGAACATTTTTCCAAATTACCAGAAGGTGAGCATGATATCTTGCTGATGTCCTCTGTGAGGAATCGGTCTTAAGGGAAGAAAAGATGAACTGGTTAGGACTTTGGTTTAATCCACCATGATTCTTTGATATTCATTGAAGCTTGAATTTTTCTTACAAAATCTTATAAAATAAATTAAAACTTGGGGAGCGGGGTGCATTGAGTTTCATATTTGTTTTATTTCTATAAGCCATCCAGAGTTGTCATTAGTTGGGAAGCCATATAAATTTCTTTAATAAATTAAAATTTTGTCTTGATTCAACTGATCAATTTTCAGTTCGATCTGTACAGAAAATTCTGCTGCCAAAGTCATTTATAAAGCAGAGTTCTAACGTGGAAGAACTATGGCTTGGCCAGTTCCTGTTCATTTTTTTTTTTTTTCATAAATGTTATGGTGGATCATTTAGATTTAACTTTCTGAACGCATCTCCTTTCAACTTTAAGCAGACAGAGGAGCACTGGTAGCTCTGGTTCAATTTTGCAGAGATGATCTTTTGGACACAAACCATCATAGTACCAAAATCCTGCCAGAAGGATTTTGCCAGAAGACCTAAGAGAAAAATGAGTTAAATTCTTGGACATGAACTTCCATGATAGCTCTTAAGTAGGTCATGGAAGCTGTCCTGCACAATATCCCCAGAGAACTACCACCACCATTCTAAAAACTTTTTGATTAAACTGAGATTTGTAGATCTCAAACTATAAACTTAAGAAAAGTCTCTGGCACAAATGTATGGTATTCGGTTGTGTCTCTTTTCACTCTTAAAATGTTCTACAACTGGAGAACGGCCGATTGAATGAGAAGGCCAGAATATGTTGTCAGCATTCAGTTCTAGATATCCTTGCATACACACTACACCATTGCTAGATGGATACCAGATTATTTGTAACAATTTTTGCTGGTCAAACTATTATCCCTTGAGCTCTCCCCTCCACCCCCAGCCATCTTTTTTTAAAAAAATCCTTTATGTTACAAATTGACCAATTCATTCTTTATGTGGCACAGTTTTCTATCATATTGAATCAGAGAACGGGGGATAGGGTATAAGCCCCAAAATTCCCAGGACATCATTTTTAAAAGTGGGAAACTTCCAAATTACTACCTATTAATTAACCCTACAATGCACATGGGGGGAAAATAGACAAAATCCTGACATCTGTGACATTGTCCCATTATCAACCTGTAAACCTTGTGTAGATAAAAATGTTTCCTCTGGATTCTGATTGTTTAAAAAAAACCTCTGCTATACACTCTTGGTGCCTTTCTTCGTATTTCTAAATAATCAGAAGTTTTGGACTTACTCCCAAATAATCAGGGGTAAATGCAAAGCAGCCCAATTCCTCTTCATCAAAATCATGTTTCAGATCCAACACCTAGAAAACAATTCTTGCAAGCTGCAGCAACTGCTCTGCCTAAAAGAAGAGGAGAGTCAGCAGAATGTAGAAATCACGAAGGATGCAGAACAGCTGGAAAGTATCTCTGAGTCCCAAATCGAAGCCCTGCAGAGGGAGAAAGCCGAGCTGGTTCAGAAAGTTCAGAGCACTGAAGAAAACATCAAATATATCAGCCAAGAAAAAGAGCATCTGAGAACAGAAATGGAGGTTCTTCAAACCGAGAAGGATAACATGATTCAAACTGTCCACCGTCTGACTGTGACTATAGAGAGGCTTGTTCCAGTGGTAAGAATTCATTCACACTCATTCATTCATTCAATTTATATGCCGCCATCTTGTTTCAACGTAAATTAATTTGCTGCCACCTTTGAGGGAAGTCCTTTTTATTGGAATAGCATTTTATTTAAATGTGGTGATCAACTTGATTGCATGTGACTATTATTATTTTGTTGTTGTTAAAGAATTTGGAACTGCAGCAAGAACTGAAGGAGGCTAATAATTCTCTCAGAGAACATAAGGAAATGGTAGAAGAACTAAAAGAAAAAATTGTATCTACAGATTTTCAGACTTTGAAAATTCATGAGGAGCTGAAGAAAAAAGTAAGAAAGATGCTATTTTAAAACTTTTTAATACTAAAGAGTGTCTCTTGTTTTAAACTCCCCTTCCCTGGTCAATATTTTTTATTTAAACTAAAGGAATTGGTGGAATCTCAATTTCATGAACTTAATATTTCTTTGTTTTATACATTTATGTCCTGAATAATTGTATCTCATGACATAATCTCTCTCCTTCCCTCTCTCTCCCTCTACACACACACACACATTAAGAGTGAGGATAGTCAACTTGAACTGGAAAAATTGATGTATGTAAAATCACAAGAAAATGAGGTAAATATTCAGAATTTGCTTCTTGAGAAACAGCAGATGTTTCAGAAATTTGAACAAGAGATTAAAGAAGAAACAAAGCACTTGAAAGAAAAAGTAAAAAAAAAAATACAAGTTTTAAATTTAAAAAAAAATGAAGCCTGGACAGATAAAAAGAAACCATTTTGTTAATTTATACAGCACATATTCATACTATGAAATTGGCTATACAAGAAGCAGGATTAATCAAATTTGGAGGAATGAGCATTCAACAGATATCAGAATATAATAGCTTTGTGCCACCTCCCATTTCAACAATAGCATCATTCTGAAGACCAGTGTCAGTGGAACATATTGTCCTGCTCATGTCCTTCTTGTGGGCTTGCAATCAGTCTAATTGGTTTTCAAGAGACTGGATTTGAGTTTGATTTGATTGGGCTGGACTCTTTCATGCTCTTAGAAGTTAGACAAAAATATAAAATATATAAATTTCATTAAAACTAATTTTTGTCCTGAATTTGGATCGTGCAACTTGAAAAATCAAGAGAGATTCTTACCTTACAAATGTTTTTGGTCCTGGTCCATACCAAACATTCTGCCCCCAGGGGAATTTATCTCGGATGTCAAACAACATTATGTACTTCCTCCACTCTTGTTTAGCTTTTTCATAAAGTTCAAACTGGGCCAGTAGATTGCAATTGTGAAATCATGGCACACACACAAAATGTAAAGCTTTAACTGCATAGTCACAGCTCCCTTCTTGACATTTAAGAACCCCTCCCAATAACCCAGAAGGATTGAGTTGCAGAAGGAGAAAAATTGGAAATTCTAGAAATTTAGAGTATCTAGAAACACATTGGAATGGAACGTGCTAATTAAACAAGTGATTACATTTTGAAGGTTGCCAATTTGAAAATTAAAGTGATTATAGTCATGTTTATGTTTGTACAACAGTAAAGTAGTACCACGTATTTTAAATATTTACTGCATTAGAAAATTAAGAAAATAGCATTTTTGTGAATCAAAAATAATTTGAAATATTTAAAAAGAGCACTCTAAGGGCTTCAGCTGTTTAGGAAAACAAACACATTAGTATTGTTTACCATAAATCTTGACTTTGATTTAGTTTTC